GATAATGCGTATTTATACATTTTGGTCGAATAAGAAACAGCATCGAAGTCTATGGCATTGACAGTTAAGACGACCAATAGGAAGTAACATTTGAAATGACATTCACAGTCTGGATGACCAATAAGGAATAACATTGAAGTATTTGACTTTGACAGTTAAAACGACCATAAATTTGACCAATGGAAATCAGTCAGTCAGTCAGATGCAACGTAGAACTTCGTACGTAAGTACATCAGTTCATGTTGCCATACCACATTAGCACAGAGAGATGGAATTGTCAATTCAAATCCAATAGTAGAAGAGGTAGTAAAGGTATCAGAAGTAATCGAAGAGGTTAGGATTAGAAGATATTATTCAAGAAGTATAATTCAGTGAGAAAAGTTTAGAAAGTAAAAACCACAGGGGTTGAAGAATCCAGAAGATTAGGATTTGAGAGAACACAAAGAGTTGATGCACCTGCGCCATTTCAGACGATTTTGAGCCATGTCATTCAAGGTCTCTAACCATCGGTGACTTTCGTCTCGCGGACCCTAACCAGGTAGTCGACAACTAGCAACATGACTCAGTCCACTTGTCAATGACTTCATGGATTTGTGCCATATTTTGGTTTGGCTCCCCTTCCAACCTACTCCTACACTACAAAACAAAGCTCTTCGAGGCAGTCTGTGGTTAGGCATACGCAGCACATGTCCCAACCATCTCAACTGATGAAGTTTCATTACTTCATCTATTGATCTGTCATTCTTACCTAGCACCCGTTTCCTAATAACAGCGTTGCTCACTCGGGTGTCCCAGGATATACGACCAATAGAAATCGACCAATAGGATTTGACCAGTAATTCTCTTAGAATGTTCGTTGAATGAATATCCTAACAAATATATCATGCCAACAATACCCGTTCAGATTAAAATTCATCACCACTTAGGTTCACATCAAAACCATCTAAGTCATTTGCAATAGTTTAAATCATGAACTGAACTCAACTGAACTAGAAGAGCTAAATAATTGTTTCAGCCATGTATGGGACTCTTCGATTGTGTTCATCCACAATCACTTTCTTAATTTAAGAATCGAACTGATGAAGACTATACTTAGTAAAACTATTTACTATTAAATAAATTCTACTTTAATTAATCATCGCTGCAATATCATCGTTTTATTTAATTTTAGAGAAAGAAAAAAATATATTTTATTTTCTGGTCATTTTATACTAACTACTAACTGGTTTTGATACTACTGTCAACAACATCAGAATATTTTCAAACTTCAAAAAATAAAAAAATGTACAATCTTTACTTACTTCAAGTTGAATTTAAACAGATACTACTGTTATCACTGCGACTGCTACTACTACTGTTTCATCAATATTAGTAATAGTGATAATCTTTTTACAATGTTTCTTATGTTGGTTCGCATTCATTCAAACAAAAAACGACAACCATTGAACAATGAATGTTCAATGTTCAAATATTGATAATATTTTGTTTTAGTGTTTGTTTTATCTGTGATATATATATAAAACTAGTTCCTTCGTTAATTTTTTCGTGTCTCTCGTAAAAAGAAGAACAAGAATCATGACCAAATGCGTGTGCAATGTCACTCACTCACTCACTCACTCACCCACACTGTTCACTTACGTTACTTACTTTATATCAGTCTATATTCATTACATCATATAAAACAAACTCTACATTTATTCAAATTAACAAGTAAATAAAAAAATCAAGAATTTTTAGATGTAAATAAATAAAACAAATTGTGATTAAAATTTCTTTTTTCATAGTGAAATAAAAAAACAACAACAAAGTCTTCCTTTGAATATTCTATCTAAATTTGTTGAGATTGTGAAATATTACTTCAACTCTCACTCACTCTACAAGATTGAAATGTAATTACTACTACTACTACTACTGCTACTACATATTTGTAATAAGAAAATGTTATTATTATTTTTTTCCATTTTCTGATGATAATTAATACTTATTACTTTATAAATACTACTTATTAATAATAATAATTTCATAATTTATGAAATAGAGTTTTTGATTTGTGCGGAGTTCGTCACTTAGTATGCTTGAGGCTATTATTACGAGTTTACCTTAGTCGATAAAACGCGAACGAGACAATCAACCAGCATCCAGGTAGGCTACCTTGAATCCAAAGCTGAAGTAAAAAGGCTTCGTAAGCGTAGAAAGTATATTCTGCAAACATCTAGCAATCACAGTACAATTAAGCATACAACTCTCGGTTATTTATACAACATAGAAACTTCCTTGAGACAGTTAAGAAAATAGCACACTAAAATACACGGCAGCCAATCAAAGCTATGGATTTTCCTGTTGGGAAATGACATCTCAAGTTCAACTGATCAACTCATGCTCGCAAACGTGAAAACCAAAAAAAGGCATTTATCAAGCGAGTTTTGGGGATCTAACATCCCCAACAATTTGTTTGTAAATTTATACATGAGATGAACGTTAATTATCTCAGACCGAAACATGGAACAAATCGATTAAGTCATTGACAAGTGGAGACTGAGCTATGATTGTAAGTGTAGACTTCCTACCTGGTTGAGGTCCGTGTGACAATAGTAACCGATGGTTAGAGACCTTGAATGACATGGCTCAGAATCGTGTGCAATGGCGCAAGTGCATCCACTCTTTGTGTTCTCTTGCTTCGGCGATATACATACTAAAATTGGAACGATACAGAGAAGATTAGCATGACCCCTGCGCAAGGATGACGCGCAAATTCGTGAAGCATTCCATAGTTTTCCCGACTGACGTGGTGGTCGGGCTTGCCTATCGTGATGACCCAACCGAGCTATATTGGTTGAAACTTATGTTCCTGAAGGTTCTACCATGTCAGGCAGGTCCATTGCAGAACGATGAGACTAAAAGTAGCTATTCAAGATCTGAGGGCGAAGTCGTACTGCTGACTGTGATGGAGGGGTGTGACAGCAGTAAGGTGTCTCCCTCGCATAACCAGCATCTGAAGCGATGCTGCCTTCTCACAAGGAAGGAAGGAATTAGAAAAGGTCGACCCTAAAAATGTCACACCTCACCTTACCTCACGGATTTCCGTCTGCAGCGATAAGGCAATTTGAAGGGCAGAGCTAACACTTCAAAAACTCATAAAAAGGCCGTGCGTGACCGGCCTCAAGCAGATTACCCTTGGGCTCTGCGGTCACTCTGCCAGGTCGTTAAGACCAACAATAATCTAACTTCCCTTTCAGGTTCTTTAAGAAACAATCTTCCACGGTGTAGCCAGCCGGGAAGTGACAACCGCCCTCATACCCGTCACAGCACACGAGACCAAAATGGTCAAAATCAAATCCTTCTTACACCCCGTAATACCTCTCTTATCTCAAGTCCTTTCAAATTCTAACCTTCTGAATTCCTCATCATCTCTGTCTTTCTGTTGCTAAATTATCTCATTATACTTTTCTAATCATATCTTATTCATTACTGCTATTACTTCTACTATCGCCACCACTATTGGATTTGAACTGACAGTTGCGTCTCTGTACTAATGTGGTATGGCGACTTGAACTGATGTACATACGTACGTACGTACGTACGAAAGTCTACGTTATTGCTGGCCGATTGTAATGGATGAATCGTTTAGTAATGAAAGCTATCGTTATATATATATATATATATATATATATATATATATATTATACATAAACACATGTGAATAGTAAATGAAATATCCCAAAGTTGTCCATCTTTCTATCAGGAATAAAGCATTTGTGTATAGAATGTGGTCATTTCGCGAGTGTGAATACACACTGTTGAGGAGTGTTAGACTAGAACCAACTAGGCATCAACTGTCCGACAATCGTTTAACTAAGGTTAGGTTCCTACAAGCCGTTTACATTATTCAACTCATTTTTCGCGATGGTCAGTCAGCTAGAACGTAGAACTTAGTGTGTAAGTACATCATTTCAGGTAGCTATACAACATTAGCACAGAGAGATCGAGTTGTCAAATCAAATCCCATAGTGGTAGATGTAGTAGAAGTATTAGTAGTAATCGGGAAGATTAAGGTACACTCATGTTGTTCAAGAAGTATTAATTCGGTGAGGTAAATTTACAAAGAGAACGATAGAGGTGATTGGGAATTCAGAAGGTTAGAATTTCATAGTACACAAAGAATAAATGCACCGGCGCCATTGCAAATGGTTTTGAGCCATGTCATTCAGGGTGTCTAACCATCGGTTATTATCATCTCGCGGACCCCAACCAGATAGTCGACCCCAACCAACATGATTCAGTTCTACGTTGCTGTTGATTGATTGACTGAGATACACATAACAAGTTTCATTACTTCATCCATTGACGTGCCATCCTTATCTAGCACCCGTTTCCTAATAACAGCATTGCTTACTCAGTTGTCCCAGGATATACGAGCAATGCTTCGAAGACATCTATGATCGAAAACCATTAACCTCCGAATATCTTCTTCTCTGACTAGTCATGCTTCACAGCCATAAAGTAAGACGGAGCGAACTACTGCACTACTACACTCGTCGTTTAGTCAGCAAACGGCTGTCTCGCCTTCGCCATAAGTAACGCAAGTTGGCAAATACAAACCGAGCTTTCTGTATCCATGCTGAGATGTCGTCACAAACCAAGCCATCAGGACTGATGAGACTCCCAAGATAAGTGAAACGGTCTACACGATCAACTGCTTCACTCCCTATCTCTACAGTTAAGGTACCCATGCGACCCAATCTTGAAGCAACATTTTGCATTTCGAGGAGGGGAATCCGACAACTCCAAATTGTTTAACAATTCATTTATAGAAACAACTTTTAACAATAATTGAATTCATTTACAGAATATTTTTGTTGTAACGATTGCTTAAATAATTCCCAGCTAATTCCTATTGCTTAGTGTATTCTCTGACCACAATACACCACTGGACTAGTTCCAAAGAATCAAAAAACACGGTTGAACAAGAAAAGATTATAATTCCAAATAGAGCAAGGTTAAACGGAAATAAGAAGCCAAAGGTGATGGTGAAGGCGAAGGCCAAAAATGGATACAACGTTAGTCTATTTATAGCATATACATGAGAAGCTTCTGGATAGTAGTAATTCACGTGATCGACTGGATTATAGATTTAACCAATCAGCACGCAGCTAACAGTACGAGAATCTTCTACCCTGTTCTCTAAGATTCGATCAGGCGCTGATTGGATAGGAAATTAGCCAATCAGCGCGCAGCAACGTAGTTATGCTTTGATTTCATTTATGTCTCCCTGACAATTCTATACACAGGCATCATCATTTACACATTACAACGAAATCAGTTCATAAAGTCAAGAATGTTTAAAGAGAAAAAAATTACAATCTTGATCTCAATCGATTTTATATACAGAAAATGATCAGAAAAAAAAATCAAATCTTACAAATCAGGTGCAATAATCACAAAAAAAGATATAAGTCATCTTGTTTGTTTGTTTAAATGGTTATGTACAATGTGTCAATGTTCAAAATATTTGAAATAGTTCATCAAAGAAGATAAGGGAGACACACACACGTAAGAAAGAAACACAATCAATCCAATTATTATTGTGTTAACAATTCACGTGGTAAATGACCAACATCTCCAAATCGATAAAGTGTCACTGTGGAACCATATTTCAATTCGGCATCCTCGGCATCGCTGACATCGACATTGTCTCCTTCGCCTTCACCTTCCTTGTCTTGTTGTGTATATGGATCATGGCGCGAAGTGAACTGGTCATTTGTAATCATTAATGTACTAATACTACCATGTCCTAAACTTAAACGTAACCATCCTTCAGTAGGCAGTTGTAATAATTTACATAACCAATAACGTAATACATTTGCATGACCAATAAATACTATAGTTTCAATTGGTTGATGTTTTATAATACGATGACATGAACAGTTACATTGTATGTAGGCATTCAGTGGATATTGTTTAGAATTAGCGCAACAATTGTCAATTGGACAGCTTACAGTACCATTATAAGCAATAATACCTTGATTTGTAATAGGTTGACGATGTAAATGTACTTGATAGCCTTTATCAATACGTAACCCGTCGGTTGAACGTATAGGATCGGATTTTTTTGTAGAAGCTTTTTACAGAGGTTGAATAGAAAGAATGGTGTTGATATTTTTTTTGAATCAGTCAATCAAATGTCGTCGCGTGGAATAAAAATAATATTGGAATGAACAAATATTACATGTAAGTAATAAAAATGGTGTTAGGATATTCATCCAATATCCTAAGAGAATTATTGGTCAATTCCTATTGGTTAATTCCTACTGGTCAATTTTATGGTCATCCTAGATATCAATGTCAATTCCTATTGGTCGTCTTAACTGTCAATGTCACAGAATTCGATGCTGTTTCCTAACTCTTCTCACATTCATTTATCACAGTGCACAGCTAATGCAAACGATGCGAGTTCGCGAAACGTCGTTCCTGGTCTCCTTAAACCCCGTTCTAAACTACATGTTGGAGCATTTAATGTACGGACATTGTGTCAAATAGGGCAACAGGCATCATTAGCTAGGACTTTAGAATCTCGTGCCATCGATGTGTGCTGCGTCTCGGAAACGCGCATACAGGATCCGAGTAGCAGTATCTCACTGAATTATACTTCTTGAATAATATCTTCAAACCCTAGTCTTCTTCATTACCATTAATACCTCTACTATCTCTACTATCACTATGGGATTTGATTTGACATTTGCGTCTCTGTGCTAATTGTGGTATGGCAACATACCACATACGTACATACGTACGAAGTTCTACGTTGCAACTGACTGATTGACTGAAAGGTTTGCGCTCATGACCGAACGTCATGGTTTCGACTCTTGTGTGCGATTTCGTGAATGCGAACTGTTGATGAGTTCCATACTAAGACGAAACAGTCATCATCAGTTGTGCTTCTAGGTTTCTAATGGTGGTCTAACATTGATCAATTCATGATTTTAATGTAAATTTATTTAAAGTCTAGTACCAGTAAATATACATACAGACACACACACACTTGATCAATCAGACAATCTATGAATTCATGGTGACACAAGTTATTTCACTGAATTATACTTCTCGAATCATATCTTCAAACTCTAATCTTTCCGATTACTGGCTCATACGTCTACTACCTCTACTACTATGTGGTATGGCAACTTGAACTGATGTATGTACGTACGAAGTTATACGTTGTATTCTCTCAAATCCTAATCTTCTGGGTTCTTCAAAAACTCTAGTTTTGACTTTCTAAACTTTTCTCATTAAATCATACTTCTTGAATAATATCTTCTAATCCTAACCTCTCCAATTACTTCTAATACCTTTACTACCTCTACTACTATTGGATTTGAATTGACAGTTACATCTTTGTGCTGATGTGGTATGGCGACATGAACTGATGTACGTACGTACGAAGTTCTACGTTGCATCCAACTGACTGAATGAGTTATACGTTGTAACCGACTGACTGACATATGGAATTGACAGAATATGGTTAACAGTAGAATGCAGGACGCACAGTGAACATCAACTCTCGGATGCACATACATCTAACTACAGACAAGTTTCAAATAGGATGAAAACGTGCATCCTGAAATGGATATTTCAAAACCCTTGTTAATCAAATAAGTAGAAAGTATTTAGTGATGTAATTTTAAAATAAATAGTTCACATTCAAAGTTCAATGAGAAAAAGAAACACACTTTTGTTTAACTTACATGTTGCTGGTTCCGGCGCAACAGGCGGTGGACCTTCAGTTAAATAACGTGATAATTGACAATCGAATGTAGCATTCCTATAAGGTGTATACGGATCATCGATCATTGATTTTTTCATGAGAGAATCAGATTTAACCAATGAGATCGTATCTTTTTCATTGGATTTTTTTGGAATTGGGCATGATTTCGGATCATCCAATCTAGATGGATCCGGTAGAACAAGTTTAACTATTTCTGATGAATCAAATAGATTATCGACATTATTTTCTAAACCAATTAAAACACCAGCTGTAGTTTGTCGTGCACGAATTAAATCCGAATGTATAATACGATCAATTCTAAGGTGGCAGCGCGGGGTAAGGGGGAAGGAAAAATATGGAAGATATTGAATATTATCAAAAACATTGAGGGTGTACAAATGAAATTAGACTAGTTTTATATAAAGATGATTGAAAGTTCCATTGAACACTTTAAAATGCATGAGGGTGTAAAAAGCACACTAGCAAAGAATGTCAATAGATGAATTCTCTGAATACTTCTTTTCGGAATATTTTTTGTACTAGTTGAATAAAAATTGTGTATTTTAAAACCGATTTATGCATATATCTGCGAATAAGTGTGGAAAATTAGATTAACAATTGAACTATTCTTCTATGAACCATTTTTCGTATCTAATTTTCGATCTCAACTGATGATAAACTTATCAATCAGTCAATCAATCAGCAGCAACGTAGAACTTCGTTCGTACGTAAGTACATCAGTTCAAGTTGCTATACCACATTAGCACAGCGATGTGATTGTCAGTCCGAATCCCATAGTAGCGAAGGTAGTAGTGTAGTGCGAGCTACTTGTAAGTAGTATATGACGTGAGTGTCAATGTAATGTCTGGTAGCAGAAGATGGGGGAAGATCAAGAGAAAGGAAGAGTTAGAAGAACAAAATGGAATTTGTATGAAACGCATGAATAGTGAGTGACAATGGTTTGGTGTTTTGCAAGAGGTACAGTCCAGTTCGATATGATGAACTGATATTTTGCAAATTGATGATTTACGATATGGTTTTCCAATTTTACTGAGTAACTCTGTAATTTTCTTTAGATACAATTCGGTTTCCTGTGTTCTCGTTCACTACAGTAGAAGTAAGAGCCAGTAATCGGAGAGATTAAGAATCGGAGATATTATTCAAGAAGTAGAATCTTGTGAAATAAACTTAAAAACAGAAAGATAAAGTTGATGAGGAATTCACAAGATTAGGATTCGAGAGAATACAAAGAATGAATGTACCTGCGCGATTCCAAATGATTTCGAGCCTCGCTATTCAAGGTCCCTAACCATCAATTACTATCATCTGATGATAAACTTAGAATTTTACCAGTCTTATAAAAAGCTTACCAACGGTTAAGAGTGTAATACAATCCAAACTATGATGAAATATGGTTAAGGAATGTACAATTTATAAGTCAGATGCAACGTAGAACTTCGTACGTAAGTACATCAGTTCATGTTGCCATACCACATCAGCACAGAGATATAATTGTCAATTCAAATCCAATAGTAGTAGAGGTAGTAAAGGTATTAGAAGTAATCGGAGAGGTTAGGGTTAGAAGATACTATTCAAGAAGTATGATTCAGTGAGAAAAGTTTAGAAAGACAAAACTAGAGGTGTTGAAGAATCCAGAAGATTAGGATTTGAGAGAACACAAAGAATAAATGCACCGGCGCCATTGCGAACAATTTATAAGAAAATCACTCGACAACAGGTGAAGGAAGATTAGTGGTTTAAATATTCAACTTAGTATATGAATGCACTATAATACTGTATCTAGCACATATCTACTATGCGACGAATAGGCTATGACAGCCGACCTAATCAAAAACATATATTCTTGTACATATTGCTAATTCACAGATGCATGGATTGTTATTTTCTTAAGACATTCTATTTAATTCTATATAATTGAGTCATGTTGGTAAGTGGTCCGCGAGATGATAGTAATCGGTGGTTAGAGACCTTGAGTGATATGACTCAAAATGGTTTCTGCATTGGCGTAAGTGCATTCACTCTCTTTATGTTGTCTCAAATCCTAACCTTTGGAGTTCTTCATCACCTTTATCATTCTCTTTTTAAGTTTAATTCACTAAGTTAAATAATTTCTTCAAACCTTAATCTCTTCAATTACTGCTAATACTTCTACTACTATGGAATCCCAATCGACAGTTGTGTCTCTCTGCTAATGTGGTATGGCCGCTTAAACTGATGCATGTACGTACGTACGTACGACGTTCTACGTTGTAACTGACTGACTGATAAAATTTACTTACTAATTTACATTGTAACTACTTTTTTTGGCATTACACAAAACTTTTGCCTAGCTATTCAACTGTACGTCAGTTATTTATGGAGAAACAAATTCTTTGTAGTATTGATAAGACGATGATAATGACATAGTTGACATATCCGTTGCACAACTGAGTGACTATCTTATCTGGACCCAGCAGCTAAGTGGATAACATAAATGGCATTCGAAGCAGACAGTACTAGATTAGAATCCTGTAGCGAACATCAACTCTGGTGTATGCAGGTACATTCAGTCAGTCAGTTAGATGCAACGTAGAACTTTGTACGTAAGTACATCAGTTCATGTCGCCATACCTAACCAGCACAGAGATATAATTGTCAATTCAAATCCAATAGTAGAAGAGTTAGTAAGGGTATTAGAAGTAATCGGAGAGGTTAGGATTAGAAGATATTATTCAAGAAGTATGTGATTTAGTGAGAAAAGTTTAGAAAGACAATACTAGAGAGGTTGAAGAACCCAGAAGATTAGGATTTGAGAGAACACAAAGAATAAATGCGCCAGCGCCATTGCAAACGGTTTTGAGCCGTGTCATTCAGGGTATCTAACCATCAATTATTATCATCTCGCGGACCCTAACCAGGTAGTCGACAATTACCGACATGGTTAAGTCCACTTGTCAATGACTTCATGGATTTCTGCCATGTTTTGGTCTGGCCGCCCCTAGTTTTCTTCCAACCTATTCCTACACTACAAAACAAAGCTCGTCGAGGCAGTCGGTGGTTAGGCATACGCAGCACATGTCCCAACCACCTCAACTGACCAAGTCTCATTACTTCATCTATTGATCTGCCATTCTTGCCTGGCACCCGTTTTCTAATAACAGCGTTGCTCACTCGAGTGTCCCAGGATATATGAGCAACAATTCGAAGACACTTATGATCGAAAACCAATAACCGACGAATATCTTCTACTCTCACTGGCCATGTTTTACAGCCATAAATTGAGACGCAGCGAACTACCGCGCAGTTCACCCGTCTTTTAGTCAGCAAACGGATATCTCGCGTGCCGCATAAGTGACGTAGGTTGGCAAAAGCTAATCGAGCTTTCTGTATCCATGCTGAGATTTCGTCAGTCACCAGGCCATCAGCATTGATGAGACTCACAAGCAAGTACATCCAGCTGACGAGTCTTAAATAGTACGAAGTAAGCGTCTTGAATTCTACTGCTAGTCACATTCTGCCTAATTTATCCAAAGGAAAAACTGTTCATTAAGATTATGATAGTGTGAACTATTGTCAAATAACTGTCAAATGTATTTAGTTTCACTGAGACAATATTCATTCACATGAAAAGGTGAATAATATTGTGGAACGATCATAAAATCCGTAAGATACAAACAATATAAATAGGAAACAATATTCGATGAAAATAAATCTGCTTTTGTACTAAACAATTATTTACCTGGTGGCTCGCTTATTGACTTAGAATATGCCAATGACATTGTCCTACTTGGTGAAGACGCTGACAAAATGCAGAGTCTTCTGACTACCATAAGCAACAATGCAAGCATGTTCGGGATGCCGTTTTCCCCCTCGAAATACAAAATGTTGCTTCAAGACTGGGTTACATTGGCACCTGAACTAGTGATAGGGAGGGAAGTAGTCGAACGTGTAGACCGCTTCACTTATCTTGATAGTCTCATCAGTGCTGATGGCCTGGCGACTGACGAAATCTCAGCAAGTATACAGAAGGCTCGATTGGCTTTTGCCAACCTGCGTCAGTTATGGCGTAGGCGAGATATCCGTTTGCTGACTAAAGGACAGGTGTACTGCGCAGTAGTTCGCTCGGTCTTACTTTATGGCTGTGAAACATGGCCAGTGAGAGTAAAAGATATTCGTAGGTTATTGGTTTTCGATCATATGTGTCTTCGAAGCATTGCTCGTACATCGTGGGACACACGAGTGAGCAACGCTGTTATTAGGAATCGGGTGCTAGGTAAGAATGGCAGATCAATAGATGAAGTAATCAGACTTGGTCAGTTGACGTGGTTGGGACATGTGTTGCGTATGCCTAACCACCGACTGCCTCGACGAGCTTTATTTTGTAGTGTAGGAGTAGGTTGGAAGAAAGTTAGGGGCGGCCAAACCAAAACATGGCACAAATCCATGAAGTCATTGACGAGTGGACTTAGCCATGTCGGTAGTTGTCGACTACCTGGTTGGGGTCCGCGAGATGATAATAATCGATGGTTAGAGACCTTGAATGACATGGCTCAAAATCGTTCGCAATGGCGCCGGTGCATTTATTCTTTGTGTTCTCTCAAATCCTAATCTTCTAGATTCTTCAGCACTTCTAGTTTCGTCTTTCTAAACTTTTCTCACTGAATCATACTTCTTGAGTAGTATCTTCTAATCCTAACCTCTCGGATTATTTCTAATAACTTTACTAACTCTTCTACTATTGGATTTGAATTGACAATTACATATCCGTGCTGATGTGGTATGGCGACATGAACTGATGTACTTACGTACAAAGTTCTACGTTGCATCTGATATACAAATAATACTCTCTATCATTACAAAATTACAATAC